GCAGAGCACGGGGGGGATCGGGGCGGGGGGGTGAAGTCTGGCCCGACCACCTCCCACTCACTTGGCTCCAGCGCTCAGGACGCGGCTCTTCCCCAGCACCGCTGCCAGCATCCTCCAGGGGACGGGGGGCACCGCCCTGGTGTCCCCAGCCCCACGGGGACCCACGCCAGATTCTGGCCACCCTTTATCCCCCTCAACCCAACACTTTCCTCCTCTCGGGGCTCGCAGCTCGAGCTGCCAGGAGGGCGAGAGTGAAAGAGGAAACGGAGGGAGGGGGCCGGGTGACATCAGAAGCGCACACTCTGTCACCGGGCAGGAAAAGACAGCGGGGGATGGCCGTGGGGTGCAGGCAGCAGGGCCCTCTGCCAGGTCTGGGACCCTCCTGTCTGCCCTGCCTGCCCCCCTCTGCCTGCACTGCCCAGCGGTGCCAGGACACGCAGCCACACCGCTGGAGCGATGGCCGGGCCGTAGCAAGGGCTGCGCTGTCCCCGCGGTGCATCCCGGTGTCCCCGAGGCTGTCCCGGGCTCCCACCTGAAGCAGTCGGTGTGCCAGTCTGCGCTCAGCGCCTGCAGGTACTGCCCGTCGAAGATGCCCTCCCCGCAGCTCGCACACACTGGCAGGTCGGTCCCTGGATGGAGGGGGGGGACACAAGAGGAATAGGGCTGTCACCCTGCCACCTGTCCCAACTCTCTCTGCAACAGCACCCCAGGATTAAGTCGCTCTGGAGCCCACCTATCGAACCCTTAAAGGAGGCAAGGTCTTGACACTGATGTCCCTATGGCTGGGGACAGGGCAGGGGCTCAGTGTGGTGGTACCAACCTTGTGCCAGGGTACCCCAGGGGCACTGTGTGACCCTGGAGTGCCCATATCAGTGGGGCATGCTGGGTGGGTAGGGGGTCCACAGGTGGGGGGGCAGGGGGTAGTGCAGGGGGCCCAGAGGGTCCCACAGAGGTGCTGGAGGAGGTGCAGGGGGGATGGAGAGTCTGGGGGGCTGAGTGGCAGGACAGATGCTTGGGGGGCACAGACGTGCTGAGATGGATTACATGCCTGGGTACACAGGAAGGGTGGGATGGGGGGCACCCACTGGTGCTGGGGGGATGATGGAGTGCAGGATGGTGATACAAGGATGCTGGATGGGGCAGAGGGTTCAGGGAGGGAATGCAGAGGGATGCAGGTGGTGTGGGGGATTAAGTGGTGCAGGATGGAAGGTGAGTAAAAAAGATATACAGTGGGACAGAAAGTGCATGGAAGGACACAGAGAAGGACCAGGACATGGAAAGACCAGGGGTGCACAGTAGGGATGTGGGTATGCATGGAAGGAGGCAGAAGGGATGGGGGGTGTTGGGATATTGGGGTGCAGGCAGGGTGTTTGGGGTGCAAGCAGGGCTGAAGGCTGGATAGGGATGTGGGGGTGCAGGGGTGATTCAGGCTAGAAGTGGGGTTCAGGCAAGAATGCAGGAGGGGATGCAGGCTGGACAGTGGGTCTAGGGAGCGGGTGCAGGAGGATGCAGGCTGGATGGCAGTGCAGGTGTGATGCATGAGGGCTTGCAGGCTGAACAGGGAGTGCAGAGGGAGACTTGGGGGTGTAAAGGGGATGCAGGCTGGATAGGAGTGCACACAGGGATTCGGGGATGCACACTGGGGATATGGGGGGGCTGCAGGCTAGAAGGAGGGTGCAATGGGGGCTGAAGAGGGCGATGGGGGCTTAACAGGGAATGCAGGAGGAGATGTGAGGGTGCAAGGGGGGGGAAGGCTAAAAGAAGGGTGCAGTGAGGAATATGAGGAGGATGCAAGGGGGATGAGGAGTGCAGAGGAGGATGTAGGAGTGCAAGGGGAACGTTCAGGGGAAAATGTGGGG